AGGGCAGTGGTTATCAAAATAGGGGCTGTGAGGGTGCATTAGGTGGTCCTCAGGAAATCGGAAGGAAGAAAAAAAAAATCTTTTTTTTTTTATTATTATTATATGTCCTAAATCGTACATGTATTCTGCTGTAATAGATGGATTGCCAAGTTCCGATGTGATTACAACAATATAATCTGTGTAGATCTAACAGTTTGTGCCTGTGACCAAGCCGCGTCGCCTCTTTTAGCTAGCTAGCGCAAATAAGTTTTATTTACCGTATTTTCTGGACTACGTCGGCAAACAAGAAGGGGCTCAGGGCCGATCCTTGATGTAGTCCCACCTCCACCTTGAAGTCACCTCACTACTGTTGTACTATTCTCATACATGTCCTGCACCAAACTAACATACTTCACTGCCACTCCTGACTTCCTCATACAAAACCACAATTCCTCCCTTGGCACTTTGTCATATGCCTTTTCTTACAATACATAATGTAGCTCCTTCTAACCTTCTCTGTACTTCTCCATCAGCATCTTCAAGGCAAATATTGCATCTGTGGTACTCTTCCTAGGCATGTGCACTGTTGTTCACAAATCTCCACTTCCTGCCTCAACCTAGCTTCAACTTCTCTTTCCCAAATCTTCATCGTATGACTCATCAACTTTATCCCTCTGTAGTTGTTACAACTCTGTACATCACCCTTCTTATAAATTGGCACCAGAACACTTTTCCTCCACTCACCAGGCATCTTGTCAGTCTCTAAAATTCTGTTTAACAACCATGTCAGGAAATCTACATCCACTTCTCCTAGGCACTTCCATACTTCCACTGGTACGTCATCAGGACCAACTGACTTTCCATCCTCTTCAGGGCTTTTCTAACTTCATCCTTTCTGACCTGATCTACCTTCTTCCTACTAGTCTCTGGTTCCTCGTTCCTACGTTCCCTTTCATTTTCCTCATTCAACAACTCCTCAAAGTATTCCTTCATTGAAGGTTCGTTCAATTTTCAAAATAAAACATCTCTCAGACTCTATTCTGTTTGAAGTTTGAAGAGTCTGAATAACGTATTATTTTAAAATATTATCTTTAAATAAAGAAAGTAAATGGATATGTCTTTGAATTAAGTATATTACTGAAAATTAAGTACATTTTTTTTCCCACTGTGTGCTTAGCAGCCACGCACCTTGCTACATATTTACTAAAACCAAACTAAAAACTGTAACTGCACTGCTTCATTGCAGTGTCAAACATTGCCCAGATATTGTTTAGACTATAGATACTGTTTTAGATTACATTTCAGGTTTTTCTGAGTGCGTTTCCTCCATAAAGGAATTATGACAAAGGCAACTGTTGTGATGCTTACCTCTTTATTAAAATATTCTAAGATTATGGCCAGAGTTTGTTATTACTGAGAAATAATCATTTAAAATTTGGCACACGTTTCTTAGAGCATAACCTTCAGAATTACTCTTGGGGCTGACCAAGTTCTTGCATGCTCCTGTACTGCACGGGTTGTGCCGACGTTTCCTCATAAGATGCAAATCTGTTGCGAGGACAGGACTGGGTGTGTACAAAATGCAAAGGACAACAGGAGGGTCAACATTAACTTATTATATTAACGTATTAAAAATGTCAGTTTTGTATTTTGGTGTTATAACACCAGCATACAAAACAGTTTTTCACTGAAATATTGCAAAAGCAATTTCAGAAATGTTTTTTTCCTCTGTGCCTGTGGTTTTATTTTGCAAAAAGTGTTTTACTTTAATTTCTACAAAAATTAAAGTTTTTTTTGTATAATATAAAGATTTGATTGACTCTGGCAGATTCTCTCAGATTACAGATTAAAACACAGTCAGGGGGGCCAGCTTCAGTCATACAATTAGTCATACAGGTAAATCCTGCAGCATTTACTCCTTTGACTTGTCCTCATCATTTCATTTGCTCATTCATCAGGCTCCTCCATCTCACTCACACCCTCTCTTTCTCCCAGCAGGACACATAGCTCTGTCAGTCTCTGTTGCATCTTGGGAATTCCAGAGAGCTGGTTTTCCAGTCGATGTTTCTCCTCCTGACAGAAACATTGAACGGATCAGAGACAAAAAAAAACAGAATGGCCACAAAATGGAAACCAAAAATACCCTACAGAAGTGCAGAAGAAAAGGTTCTACATTGGAAACCACATTCATGAAGTGCTTCTGTGCTGTTTGGTTTTATATACCTGCAGAGACAGACGAGTAGATGCATCCAGAGGTTCAAACCTCCAACCTCCTTCTCCATCAAACTGAAGCACGTGAGAGTGGTACTTCCTGTGAGGGAATAAAATAGAAGATCAGTGCTCTGCTACCCCCTGTAGGACACGGACGATACATCTCCATCTGGGATATTTATGTGTTGTGGAAAATTATATAAATATTCTCTTCTAGAATACTTCAAGAAGAGTGTTGCATAGTTAACTGACTTCATATAAAATACCGCCACAGATTAACAACAATAATATGAAACAAAAGCAGTGCGAGTTCTGTATGATGCAGTAGAAATGAGTGTAATTCAAAGAAAATATTAACTTGTATATGATGGATAGTCTTGTATGTGTTGTATAGACTGGCCAAGTTTACCAACGACCTTTTAGACCTTCACCTTGACTTGCTGCTGATTACACTTTTGATATCAACAACATGCCTGACAGAAATAAACAGTGTGTTGGACAAAACGAGCCTGTCACCTTAAATGTATTCTGTTGCTGAACGCGCACCTCGGTAAACTTGGACATTCATTTTATTCTAGGTGAGGGTGTCCAGAGTAAGGTCTTAGAAGATGATGATAAGTGAGAACCAGGTGGTGATTTTGAACAACATTTATACTATCAATGTGAAGGAAAAGTGGGGGATTACTCCACAGTAGATGATCATTTTCAATCGTTATTTAAAAACACAGCAAATTCCCAAACATAGACAGATTTCCCGTTTGTTCGAAATATTACCGGCTAGCCCTCAACCTGGCCATGTTTATGTGTGCTGTTGTGTTCTAAAACTATCACAGACACTTTTACAGAGCAGGACTGTGAAATACTATCACAGAAACTTTGCTTGCTGTTGTGTTCTAAAACTATCACACATGACACTTTTACAGAGCAGGACTGTGAAAACAACTAGGATAGCATTACAATATTTTCTTTGCACTTTGCCTATATGAAAGTTATGACATTACATAAATATATATATGTGTAAATTCCCTAAATTCGAGCCTTGCATTCTTAGTTAAATGTATTATTAAAAAGCATTCCCTCCTCGTGTTATTGTTTTAATCACTGAAAAAAATATTGATGACATCACTAGCGACTAGTGCGCATCGACTCGCCTTAATTCTTAAGACTATACTTAAAAATAATTTGAAGCCATGCAACGTCACGTGCATGCATACTGACCATAACGAAGGCCTGTGCGTAATTGACAAGAGGGCTATCCCAGCATCCTTTGCAGCCTGGAAGATGTTTCCCTCCACATCAATACTAACAGCACTTGTACATTCGTCCAGCAAAGCATAGCGAGGGCTGAGTGAGATACACAATGAGTGACATGGGTTATTGAGAAAGTCACACAGGTGGAACATGAAGAAAAAAAAGAGTAACACCAGTTTTTTTTTTTTTTCTACCAGCGATAGAACATCCGAGCCATTCCCATCCTCTGCTTCTCTCCTCCAGATAGAACGTCCCGCCAGTCGCTCACTGCCTCCCAACCTAAACCATACACATAGAAACTCTACTGAGATCTTGTTACACTAAAAAAAAAAAACAAGTGCTCACTTTCAAACACACCTCCCTCACGGTCCAGGATATAGAGCAGGTGAACAGTTCTCAGTATCTCCTCCAATTGTGAATCAGTAACTCCTCTTTGAAGCATGTCGTCCACAGAATCTGGATAAATGACTTGGTCTCTGAGTGTCCCCTCTGACATATAGGGTCTAAAGACGAAGAAATAACAATAACACTGCAGCACTGTAGAATCAATTTATTAAATCCGTGACCTACATCTGTGGCATCTATTTATGAATTGTGGTATTATTTTTACAATTTATGAACACTGCTGCAATAACACTGTAGAATCAACTTGTCATTTATTAAATCTGTGACCTACATCTGTGACATCTATTTATTAATTGTGGTATTATTTTTACAATTTATGGCGGCCTTTATTTTGAACCTAAGTAACAATTGTCTCATTGACACTGTAGTAGTTTTTCCTACCTCTGAGGGATGTAGAACATGTGCTGTGGTTCTGGTCTGTACAGAACTCCCCCATACACAGGCCACAGACCACTGAGGATTCTGAAAAAGGAACTTTTTCCACAGCCATTTGGACCGGTGATCAAAACATTCATGCCCTCGTCCACCTTAGAGATGCCGAGTAAAACAAAGAACCACACATGAATACATCGAAGGGATGACACTGTCCTCTAAAGCGTTTTACTGAGAGAGCGTATCACCTGGATGTTTAGACAGCTCACCACCACATCTCCAGTAGGTGTGATGATTGGCAGGTTTTCACAGCGAATGCCCTTCTCCACACTGATCACCTGACCTTCACCAACAAACCATCAAAAACTAATTTACAAGAAGAAGAAGAAAAAAACAGTCCAGTGTGGCAGTAAGGCTAAAATGTTAAAAGATACTGTATATAAGACAGCATAGGCAATAAGACAACAACATAGCACAGTTAAAAGAATATGTCAAAGAACAACACAAACAGTATATAAAAATGCGACAAGTAGATTACACTGTCACAATAAAAGTTACAACACCACAAAATAACTGTGCGTGTCACAACATGGTAAGTATCACCAATCACCAATTTTTGGATGTAATCTCTACACAGCAACATGACACACAAGGCTACAGAGCTAACAGGAGAATTTCTGCTCACGCACCTCTTATCTCTAGACGTCCACTGACTCGTTGACCATGTTGAACCACAGCTTGGTCCTGTGCCCCAACTTCTGCTTGTGACACTTCTCTGTTTGCAGAGCGACGGTAGACTTCACTACTCACATCCTCAAACACATCCAGCATCTCTGAAACTCGGGAGGTGTAACCGGCCAACTCTGTGACCTGGTGAAACACGTGGTGTTACATGAACTCATACATGAGAATTATACGACCACAAAGCAAACGAAATTGCAGTTGTCGTTGTCACCTCCTTGTAGGAGCTAATGATTCTCTCTACAGCATCGGCACCAGCATTGAGCAGACTCCTGGCCATGGTGAAGGCCTGAGTCCTCTCACTGACCAGCTCCTCCTCCTTCATGGAGATTGCTGCCTGCTTCACCTCCTCTGAATCTGACATCCAACAGTGGTAACCACATCAGTGCTTAAAAAAAAACGTAATTTTCATTTGTATATGATGTATGTCTTTACCATGTTCAGAGTATCCTGTAGCAGTAATGATAGGCACAGCAACCATTATCAGACCAGACGCACTCCACACGTACTTCATCAGGAACTGTTCCAACATGACATACCAGAGACGCTTCAGCAGGTTCTGATGGATCTGAGTTGATAGAGCTGCATAGCTGCTATGCAGCTGGGACATCTCCACCTACAAAATCAAATATAGCCTGGATCAACAATGCTCTGGGCTCTATATAAAGACAAACACACCCAGCATCATACACCTGTTGGTGTGCTTAATTTGTTTTTACCTTGTGTCCTCCATAGAAGGCAATCTCCTCCGAGTTGGTGATAATGCGCGAGTGCATGTAGCGCAGCTCTCCTTTCTTCTTGGCCTCTTCTGCAACCAGTTTCCCAAAACTAGGTGAGCAGTCTCTCAGGACTTTAGCAGTGAGTGCGACTACTAGGCCAGCAATGACTGACGGCCATGTTGTGTTTGCACCTGAGAAACACAAACAATTAAAGTCTTTAACCATGCCTTACAACTAGGGATGGAAATCTCCTTACATAACGATTTGATCTGATTACGAAGCCAACAATTATAATCAGAAAATCTAGGTATAAATGAGAAAATTCCTTTATAAATAAAAAAACTAAAGGAAAACTATGTCATACATATAATCTGTGATATTGCATAGAAGTGCAATATACAGAGTGCATGGCAGTGTTGCACATAAGCCTCTACAGTGGACGCCTGAGAATCCACTGTAAAGGCTTATATGCAACACTGCCATCAAAACCTATTCTTATCATAGAAAATTTTAATAGCTGTCCACTGTAGTGACCGTCATGCATGAAAGGGTTAATGACATTATAGACAGCAGGTTTCTAATATACATAATCATCGTTATGGATTTAATTGATTTTTATAAACATTCAAGAGATAATTTCAAAATTACAACTCGCTCTTCAAACATTAATTAATTAATAAGCCAGAATAATGTACATTTTAAGTATATTAGGTTTCCCAACTGTTATCAACACACGCAGAACTGTACCTTTAGAGTGGGCAGTGCGCACCAGTGTATAACACGTGACTATCACGTCCAAGATGGGTTTAGTTAGGTTGGAGTACAGGTGTGCGATGGAGGCAGAAAACATGACAATGTCCTCAGTCAGGGACTGGTCAGGGTTGGACAGACGTCCATCCATGTTACTGACACGATAATATGTCTGTGGATAGGAGGTTAATTGTTGAGAAATCATCTAGCCGGGACTTAACAGGCAGTTTACTTTTCTTTTTATCTGTATCTGTTTGAGACCTGGTTGGTGAAGTACAGCTGGTAGGCATGGCTGACCAGACGACCTCTGAAGCGCAGACTCAGTTGGCCTTCCAGAAAGCGAATGGCACTGTTGATGAAGGTTGCAGGGACAGCGACTAGCAGCCACTTGGAAAGCTGCAGGATGAAAGACTGAGGGTCCTTCTGCACGATGGTCTTCACAATAGCTCCTTCACAACCACAGACATCAGAAGAGTAAAGGTAATTAAGAGAGGTATTGACAAAAACTCTCTTTGGGATAGACAGACAGTGACTGACCGTCCAGAGAAGCCACGTAGATGGACAGAAACGTTCTCGACATCAGAGTGATTGAATGTAGGACCAATAGTGCGAACTCAGGACACAGTAACCGTGGGAATAAGAGCTTTAACAGGCGAAACAGTCTAAGAGCAAACTCCCTGTTCACTGATGGAGACCTGGAGACACAGACATTTATCTTACCAGCTGCCAGCTTTAAATATTGTTTTTTATTTGCTTACTGTACTGTGAGTGTCCTCTGATGCTGGACCTAGCCTGCGACAGGCTGGCTTTGCACTCAAACATGAACTTTTTTTTTTTCAAAATTTGAACCTCCTATCTTAAAAATGGGTTATCTGCTGTAAGACAGATTTCAACCCGTTCTCTCCCATTCTATTGTTTGTTTAAAAAAATCTGTTATTGTAGCTGCTGGTTAATTTATGCATCCATCTGTAGATTCAAATGTTATATTGGACCTGTAGTGTTTTTAAATCCCTTGCTTAGATTTAGCTCAGTGACACAACTGACTACATGAGGCAACAGCTGACCAGCAGATCCTCTGTCCAGCTGAAATCACTGATCTTTCTCTGTAGTCACCTGCTGTCTTGTTTCTTCTTCTCTCTTCCACTTTGGACCGAGCTGGAGTGGGATGTGACTACACCCACAGGGAGTTTACGTCCAAACAACTGTCTTCCCACTGCACTTTTCTGTGAATGGGACCAACATAATTAGTAAAATCATATATTCTATTTCTTGCTAATGAGTATCAGACCTGGTCTTACCTGGATCCCTCTCACCACATATGGAGATATTTTTTTAAGGGCATAGAAGGCAAGTAGCACAGCTGCTACTTTCCTGGTTCTGGAGCTACGTCTCAGCTTTTCACAGGTAAGTTGCATGATAACAGAGATATGTTCGAAGACCAATCAGAGGACAGAAACAGTAGAGTCACATAGTCCAAACAGGATCGCTGAGAATGATGCCATCAGGGATACATCATGTTTGGCTTTGAGGCTGCACCTACAGGTGTGACATTCACATAGGAAAATCATTAATACGGTCATCATATTTTAGCTATCTATCCACAAGTTACACTCAAGTCTCCTGGGCCAAATCTGTCCAGCAATGTCATGTTGTGTGGCCCATCAGAGCTTGATATGTGTATGTTTGTCTGGGTAGCTGTTACCACAAACTTAATCTTCAAAATTTCTCTTTGTATTAGCCCATCTCCCAGGAACCTGGCAAATGGAAATATCAATAATAAATTGCAAAGGAACAAATGAAACAAGTACCATCTTCTTATCGCCCACAAAACTTGACTAACATAGTTATTTAATGAGAACCTGTTTTTTCATATTATCAGTCATGAACGTATCAAACGTTGTACGTGTAATATTAAACATAATTTTGCTTAAATCTTTTTTATTATTATAATTAGGGGAAAAAACAGTTGCAGTATGTTCAAACTAGACTGGTCATAAAAATTAACGTTAAACCTTATTGGCTAATACTGGTCCCTGAGTGATTGAGTTCGACACCCCTGCCCATAGCCAACTAGAGGCTATTTTAAGTTTTTTTTTTCTTGAATGTATAATTTCTGCAAATACATTTATTTTATCATTATTCAATACATTAACATTTTTCTTTTCAAATATCATTTTAATTAATTTCTAATCTCTGCAGACTGCCCTTTGACTAATCGTAGAGCTACATTTTTCACTATAACTGAGGTTTTTCTAAATGTACAGCTGCTAAATTTATCCCTTTTTTGGTTAAATTAAATCGTGTGGGTAATCATTTGAGAACTGTTTGTGGCCCAATCTCGACTTTTTACGCTGTCTACAAAATAGCTCTCGACCATTTCTCGACCCTAGTTACCCTACGTTTTGCCTACGCTTTTAGTAACGTCTCGCATTTTTGCTTCATTTCATCTCCAATTAAGTTATCGCTTTAGCATTTTTAAGCGCCTTTTGTACTTGTTGTTTACTTCTGACCATGTAACTTGTTGCTGGTGGATCCACCGTTTCCTGTTTTAATTATTATTATCTATGTTGCAGTACAGTAACAGTGATATAGCAATACCTCCCCAGTGTTATTATAGTAACACCACGTACTATAACATAACTACTTCGGGTATTACTGACCCTATGTAACTTTTGGTAACGTTATTTACGATTACGATTTACGACGATACAGGAACTGTTCTGTACCTGGTTTATGTGATATGACTGCGTAGAACTTATCCTGGTTCTCACAGATAAAAGGTTCCCGTTACTTTCCGCTAGCGTCGGTAGCCACAGCTAACATCTCCTTTTCTTCATTGAGTGGCATATAAATATTTTCATAGTTTAAATAAAAAAAAAACAAAAACCTTAAAATCGAACTAGCTAAAAAAGTTGAATCACCTGACCGCTAACAGGGCTAACAGTGCTAACAGTTCTAAGTTTCTCTAGTGTCTGACGAAAACATGAGCAGGTTCTCAGCTTTTTCCGGTTTGATTTGATACTTGTGTTCCGGTTTTAGCTGTGACCAGCAAGTGTTGCGTCCCTCCTCCTCGTCTGCTTATTCCGTGTTTATCCGGACTTTGAAACTGCTAGTGAAAGAAAGGTTATGCAAGTTTACGTCGAAAGAGAGGGCTGCGTCGGAATTCTCTTCCTCCACCCTTCCTCTTTCTTTCCCATTTCCTTTTCTAGACCATCATAAACTGACGGACTTTACCAACTGGTAAATGGAAATAATAGTGAGGCAGACAGGTAAACTATCTCAGACCGCTTATCACTGATTGGAAGACGTTTATGGTTGAAATAACTTTACCTCAGCTAAGGATTTATTAGTACTTATCAGATGATTTTTTGATTATCTTTTATTAACCAAACAGATCATTTCTTTTGAAGAGTCTAATCTGTTTTTATCTAGAAATTGATTGTTTTTCATACAGATGCTAACTGCATAAAGCCTTGCAATACTGGGAAGACTAATGCCATCTATTGGGGAAACGTGGGTATTGCAGGGAAAATGTCGAGGTATAATGATATAAAAAAAATTATATAATCTGGAAAAGTTTGGTGGGCCCTACCTGGCCCAGGAGGTTTAAGGATCGAGTCCACCAGCTGCCAAGTTATCACAGAGGTGCACTGAGCTGTGGCATTGTTCCCACATACTGCTCCCCATGCACTTAAGTTACCCAGTGTTCACTTTGGTGATGGATAAAATGCAGAGAGCACATTTTGTGGTGTGATGTGTTACAATGACAAGTAGTTCATCCAAGTTACTATAGGCAATGGAGTGCTAATGGTAATGCTAATGCATGTGTTAAATCCTAAATGTTATGTCTTCTTAAACAGTCTGGGTTAATTCATTCTATGGAAACAATTGGTTCTACCCATGTTTACCAGAAAAGAGAATCACAGAATTTTTAAAAAAACTGTGCATTTGCAACCCTTCAGTCCTTTATTTACTCAAAGCTTTTTGGGTTGTTAAACAAAGTTACAGAAAACCGTAAAAACAACATAAGTCTGCAAACAGCGCAGATGAACATTATACACAGCCCAAACAGCTGTGATATCATACTGAAGGTCAAACCACAGATTTGGTCCTGAACCCAAGCACAAACACTTGGATCCAGGACTCAAGTACAGTGCAGTACATCTGGCAGTAGTACTGTGTTGTACCAGTACTCATAGTACAAAGGTTATCACATTTCAAATACTCATGTTTTGGCAGCTTATAAAGTTCTGCTAGGCCTGAGTTCTATTATTTTGATACTAGGAGTATTAGAGTACTATACATAGCAGAGGTGGGACCAAGTCATTGCTTTGCAAGTCACAAGTAAGTCTCAAGTCTTTGCACTCAAGTCCGAGTCAAGTCTCAAGTCAAGATAGGCGAAGTCCGAGTCGAGTCCAAGTCAAGACCGGAAAGTGTCAAGTCAAGTCCCAAGTAGTTTTTAAATCTGAACAACACAATCTTTGGTATCGTTTTCTCTCACCCGAGCGTTGTTTGACATGTCTTCCACATCGGTTGTCCCGCAATTTGATTTGCTCGATGCTATCGCGTCAAAACAACGTGGGTCTAATTTGATTGGATGTTGTGCCGACAGCAC